CTGGAGCCACACCAGCAGAATTTCTGGGTAAAAGCAAACATATAGAAAAAAGAGAGAGTGAAAAGCCTCCAAAATTTGGAGTCAGAAAAACCTGAGCTCCAATTGTGACTTTCTCTTTTCTGAGTTTTACTGTATGTGTAGATTGGAACAAGTTACTTTCGCTTTTTAAGCTTCAGTTTTCCCATTTATAGCAAGAGAAATCATGAGTATATTGTAGACGATTAGGGGTTTAAGTGAGATCCCATGTATGAAGAGCTTTCAGGGTGATACTGTGTATCAAAGTGCTTGGAGAAAAGTGAGCAGCTGATAAATAATATTTGGTTGTAGTGGAGTTGATGATGGAGGATGTGGAGGAGGAGGAAGAGGAGGAAGGAAAGGAGAGCGAGTGGAAGAAAGTTTCTCTTTAGGGGCTAGAGACAAGAAGGCAGGTTCGGCTCAGATCATGATCCCGGAGTTCTGGGATCGAGCCCCACATCGGGCTCCCTGCATGGCAGAGAGCCTGTTTCTCCCTCTCCCTCTGCTGTTCCCCCTGCTTGTTCTCTCTCTCTCTCTGTCAAATAAATAAACAAAATATTAAAAAAAAAAAAAGGCAGGGCTGTAGGCAGAGACAGGCTCTGCAAATTCAAGGCAGAGCCATTGCAAGGATGCCTTTAAATATGTGCATTAGATATCTGGTCATTTCCTCATACCTCATAGCAACTCATTCATAGTCAGGAGCTGAGTTACCAACATTCGGAACTGTATCTGCGAGACCGGGATCCTGAATATTGCACACAGAAATCGCAGGGGGACTAGAATTTGTGGCAGTACCCACTCCCGAGGAGCTGCACCCACTACCTTTTCAGCAGCTGCTGTTGTGCAGCCTTGGTTGTGAGGAGTCCAGGGAGCCTGTTACGATTCCAGTGCCTTCATGATGCACAACAACTATGATTTGCCCTCTTAATGAGACCTGAAGCACCTCACTGCTGCTATATAGAGACAGGCTGGGGACAGATCAAGAGCTGAGCTTCGAGAAGTGGCTTCTATGTGTGTACTCCTCTGAGAACGATTTTACAGCTGTTTCTGTGACTGTGACTGTGGTTTGGATGTGGATGTCGTAATTTGGAGTCCCTCCTGTCTCATTTTTGAGAGTAGTGATGTTGAAATTCCTCTTCTGTACTTGAACTGTTGTAGCAGTCTATCTAGTTGATGGTAGCACACTTAAGAAGCATCCTGACAGATTCTCTTCCACCTTTTCCTCTCATTTCCACCAAAGCGCCCAGGCATGCAGGGATAGGAGTCTCCAGACTTCTTAACCCAGTTGCAGATACACAGAAGATCCACACTCAATATGTGGCCATCAGGAAAACCTGGTGGGCTTCTTTTGTTTGCAGTATCCCTTGTAACAAATTGTCAGGCATCCAGTGAATATAGAACTGGCCGTTGTTCTGGAAGTTCAAAGCGCAAAGAATATTCATGCTGCACAGCTAGGGAACATTTAACAAATTCAACCCCATCGGGTACTGTCATTGGAAACATTCTTTAGGGGCGCCTGGGTGGTTCAGTTGGTTAAGCGGCTGCCTTCGGCTCAGGTCATGAGCCCAGGGTCCTTGGGATGGAGCCCTACGTTGGGCTCCCTGCTCGGCGGGAGGCATGCTTCTCTCTCTCCGACTCCCCCTGCTTGTGTTCCTTCTCTCCCGTTCTCTCTCTGTCAAATAAATAAAATAAAATCTTAAAAAAAAAGAAACATTCTTGAGAGCTGATAATGTCAGCAATTGCCGTGTTATTCTGAGTCCATTCAACCTTTGTTGCTCGAAACATGGTTTGTGACCAGAGGCATCGTCATCCTCTGGAGCTTGTTAGAAATGCAGAATCTCAGGGCCCACAGCAGATCTGCTGCATCATGATGTGGTGTGTAGTCAGTAGGATCCCCAGGTTACTTACGTGCCCATTAAAGTTTGAGAACCTCTATTAAGTTAAACACTTAGGATGTCAGACATTCTATGCATAATCACAGGCATGGTCTTTGCTTTAATGGAATGTACAGTAGAGTAGGAAACAGGCAATTACACTGGAGTTACAATGGTTATAAGAGAGGAAATGATAAGCTATGGGAAAATGCAAAAGAGCCACCGAATCCAGATTTGGTGCTGGGATGATCAGAAATGGGGGTGGGGATAATGCTTTTGGTTTGGTTTTTGGTTTTTGGTTGTTGTTGTTGTTTCCAGAGGAAGTGAGGTCAAAGTTCAGACCTTACCAATAAATGGGAAATATTGAAGAAATATTTGGTAGGCCTTTCTTTTTTTTTTTTTTCAAGATTTTATTTATTTGCGAGAGAGAGAATGAGAGAGAGAGAGAGCACGTGAGGGGGGGAGGGTCAGAGGGAGAAGCAGACTCCCCGCTGAGCAGGGAGCCCGATGCAGGACTCGATCCCGGGACTCCAGGATCATGACCTGAGCTGAAGGCAGTCGCTTAACCAACTGAGCCACCCACGCGCCCCTTGGTAGGCATTTCTAACTGCAGGTAGTCAGTGTGCTCATTCTGCTGCTGAGAATGATTCAAATTATGATGAAATGTTATCAGTCTCTGGAAGGGATCTTAATGTGTAAGTGAAAAAAATTTGGAATTACCTGTACTTAAAAGAGATTGAAGTAAAAGATTGAAATCCATTAACAGAGAGTGAATGTATTTGAGACATTGGATACTTTGAAGCTTGTTGGATTTGTTTGTCTTGAATTAGTCAATACTCCTACTGTTTCTCAGAATACCTTAGTGTTTATGTACGAACCTAATGGATTTCTACAAATATTCTAGAAATGGACACAATTACAGACTTTACACGAGTACTGAAAAACATCAATTTATCATCATAGGCTGTACAATTTATATATACCATGTAAGCATTTTGACTTTTCAGTAACTATTACATTTTAATGTAGAGTATGTATGTACAGTCTTACATTAACTTTTGCCAGCTGAAATATGGAATTGTAGAAAAGTAAAGAGTATTAGAATTAATGTTGGTATACCAATTTTTAAAACAAATATTAAGGAGGGCACTTGTGATGAGCACTGGTTGTTGTATGTAAGTGATGAATCACTAAATCCTACGCCTGAAACAAATATTATACTGTATGTTAACTAACTGGAATTTAAATAAAAATTTGGTAGAAAAAAATTATTAAATATAAAATGCATTTGTCTATTCTTATTAACATAAATTTCACAAATCTTTTATATCATTTTAGGCACACTTATTTAAAAAAGTTTAACTCCCACAAATATTCAACAAGTAATTTAAACTTTTGTGTCTCTAATTTCCTTATTTTCTCTTTTTGCATATTAATTTCCCTTTATGAAAAATTGTTGAGTAGTATTTGGTACTAATTGGCTTGATTACATATCATTTTGCATGCATTTTGAAGAAAACATTTAAAAATAAAAACATTGTAGTTTAGTGTTGTGAATATATTTTTTTAAAGATTTTATTTATTTATTTGACAGAGAGAGACACAGCAAAAAAGGGAACACAAGCAGGGGGAGTGGGAGAGGGAGAAGCAGGCTTCCCGCAGAGCAGGGAGCCCGATGCGGGGCTCGATCCCAGGACCCTGGGATCATGACCTGAGCCAAAGGCAGACGCTTAATGACTGAATATTTAATGAAATTGAATGGGCTCCAATTCTTGAACATTATGGAAAGTGTATTATTTATAAAATATTTCCATTGGACATTTCATCAAAAATAGCTCTGCATCTATTTATCAATGTCTAGTTTGTTAGCAGTACTAAATGATGCAAATATCTAATTTAATCATTGATCATTTCATGTCTCAAAAAAAAAAGAAAAAAAGATGAAAGTAGGAGGCTTTTACGGTAGATGAGGTTTAAAGTAAACGACCAGAATTCTATTGCTCCCCAATGTTAATTAACATTTTTCCTGAGGTCTTTAAACTCCAAGCTTTTTCTATTTTATGCCATGTTATAAAATCTCTTTTTGATTTAGTTTTTCATACTTAAAAATGAGACTTTTAATCAGGCATTAATCAGTCTTAGAACAGTCATAGACGAGTTTATACTATAATGAGATTTCTGAGCAGAAAGTAACTAAACACGTGCATTATAAAGTCCTTATAGGACAAGGCCTTATTTCCATAGCCCCCGCCAAATAGCTTGAGTTTCCATTAATATTTAAAGTTTGTTCACTTCTGGTGGCTAGAGGTGTGCTGGTTAAGAGCACCAGCTCTGAATTCTGTTCACATCCAGGCTGGGTGACCTTGAACAAGTTATGCAGTTTTTCTGTAAAATAGGGATAAAATATCAATACCTACCTTGTAGGGTTGTTACAAGGATTCATATAATATATATATTGTATGATGCTTATATAATATGAATATATCTAAACATAAATATATATTGTATATAAATATATAACATATATATAATATATACAACTACATATATATGTATCTTGGTAGGTTATTGGACCCATATAAGCCTAAATTTCAATGCTTTTTTTATACAAATAAAAGTAAACAATATTAACTAAGAGCTAAGTCATGATTCATAAGCACTTTTAATCAGATAACAATAAGCTAGTCTCCCTGTAAGGTAAAATAATTTCTCAACATTTCTTATACAACATATTTTTATAAGGCTATGCAGAATCAATTTACTGCTATGAGCTACAGCATTAATTGGAAAAAATGTGAAGAATTGCTTAAGGGAAGGAGAATGTTTTGTCTTTAGATACCTATGACTAGCCAAGTTCATTTAGGTAAGAGTAATTTTAGAAGGGAAAAAGGAAAAGTTGTTTTCCAAAATCAATGGCTCTCAGATCCTGAATTTTTGATGTACGATATAAAAACCACCACATCACCGAAGTGATTGATACCACATAGCATGGCTCCTTTCAGCTCACAGGAGAGATCCTTAACTTTGTCTGTGGTTAGAAGTACTCAGGGGTATGATATACATGAGCAAATGTCATCAACCTCTTCTTTATTATTTTGTCTTCATGTCCAGATTCCTCCAAAGGACCTCAGCCATCTTCAGGTGTAAATGGTAACATGCAGCCCCCTGGCACCGTGGGGCAGCCCCCCGCCTCTGCCATCCCTTCTCCGAGCGCCAGCAAGCCCTGGCGGAGCAAGTCCATGAATGTCAAGCACAGTGCCACCTCCACCATGCTGACCGTGAAGCAGTCCAGCCCAGCCACCTCCCCCACACCACCTGCAGACAGACTGAAGCCCCCTGTCTCAGAAGGGGTCAAAACAACCTCCTCGGGACAGAAATCCATGCTTGAAAAATTCAAGCTGGTCAATGCACGGACTGCTTTACGCCCCCCACAGTCTCCCAGCTCGGGGCCCAGTGATGGGGGGAAGGATGACGATGCCTTTTCTGAATCTGGTGAGATGGAAGGTTTTAACAGTGGTCTGAATAGTGGTGGCTCAACCAATAGCAGCCCCAAAGTGTCCCCTAAATTAGCCCCTCCAAAAGCTGGAAGCAAAAATCTCAGCAATAAAAAGTCTTTGCTACAGCCAAAGGAAAAAGAGGAAAAGAACAGGGACAAAAATAAAGTTTGCACTGAAAAACCAGTCAAGGACGAGAAGGATCAGGTGACAGAGACAGCTCCGAAAAAGACCTCTAAAATTGCAAGCTTGATCCCAAAGGGTAGCAAGACGGCAGCAGCCAAGAAAGAAAGCCTAATCCCCTCTTCCAGTGGCATTCCAAAACCGGGCTCGAAGGTGCCCACAGCAAAGCAGACCGTTTCACCAGGCAGTGCAGTGAGCAAAGAGTCGGAAAAATTCAGGACTACCAAGGGAAGCCCTTCCCAGTCCTTACCTAAGCCCACGACCACTGAGAAGGCAAGCACATCCAATTGCCCTGCTCCTTTGGAAGGAAGGGAAGCCAGCCACGCCCCTCCCGCCGGCTCCTGTGCTGCGCTGGTGGCACCAGGCGGGGGGCAGGCCACCGGGAACGGTGCTGTCCAACTCCCCCAGCAGCAGCAACACAGCCACCCCAACACGGCCACGGTGGCTCCATTCATCTACAGGTAAGGTGGCCGCTACGCGCCCGCAGTTGTGAACTTCTGCGGGTCGTCCTACTCCGCGCGTCACGACGAAGGTGACTAGAGCTGTGTTTTATTTACGTCATCGTTTTGGAACACTTCCGTTCTGAAGATAAAGGACTAGGATTTCATTTTTTAAGAAAAAAGTATCCAATACGCTCTAGTCCTCTTCCCCCTCCCCTTCCGCCCTCTCATCCCTTCTTTGTAAGAACTTGAGGCCTTCAGAGGTTAACTTACTTGTTCTCCGAGGTGAAGTAAAACCTAGACGCCATGACTCTCTCCTGTGTCTATTACTATTACTACTTCTACTACTATTTTTATTATTAGTCTTTTAAAATAATTATCGGTTTTATAGGGTTTACAGATATTTTTGTTTTCACCCTTGGGAGAAAGTATGTCATGACGGTTAAAAGGGGCAGGCTCTGGAACCAGACGCACGTGGGTTGAACGCCCTGCTCTGGCTCTTACCAGTTGTGTGACTTTGAACAAGTTACTTAACGTTTCTTCGTCTCATTTTCTTCAGTTGTCAAATAGTAATAACAGTACCTAAAAAGTTGAGAAGAATAACAGGGTCAATGCCTATGTTTACTGTATATTCTGGCACATTGTGTTTGTTAAATGTTGCTTTTAAGGCATTGCTTTCCCAGCATAAAATTTATATTACTTTCCTGTAGCTAAGCATAAGTTTCTAGGCCAAAATAAGAATCTACATAATTATTATATTTGTGCTTCATGTATTAATTTGTTTTTGCATTATAACTATTTGTTTTATAAGGATTAAAATATGCCAATATATGCTATATTTTAAAATATTCATTCTACTAGACAGTTATAAAAATAGCACATTTTGCCTAGTGTGTGGTTTGTTTTAATTGATTAGAAATGTGTCAGTCGCTGCTTCGTCTCCCTTTTTATTCACTGTCTTTACTGTGAGGAGATGCTTAGGGAAGAATAATGTCTGCCCTTTCGGCAGGTTGGCAGTTCAGTAACAGGAAAGAAATTTTCTGAATAGGAAGTAGGACCTGCTATAATTAAGTAAGCGTCAATATTTTATAGCTTAAAAGCATATTAAATTTATTAAATGTATAGGTTTTTTAAGGAAAGAAAATAATTATAAGGATTTGTTTTCCTTCGGTGAAAATTGTAAGTGCTTTTCTGATGCTTTATGTACTCGGCAAAGCAAGTTTCTAATTATTGCATTTCAGCTCTTTTTTTAAGTCTGCTTTTCTGCCTTTAGTAGCAGCAATTCATTTAAAACCTTTGTCTTTGGATCAGATGGGAGTCAGCTCTTTCTAACTCCAGAGTCCCTATCTGACAAATGAGAATTTAAGATGTCGAAATCATAATCCACATTCCAAATATGTAAGAAAAAAAATCATATAGTTTTAAATAAGCCAACTCAGCCCACTCATGCATCTCAAATATATTCTGTAGAGGCATCAGTCATTTCAAATCACCACAAATGAATTTCACAGGAAAGTGCAAATCTAAGCAGAAGGACTGTACCTACCAGGTTGGCCAGCATCTTCTGGGAAGGAACACACACTTGTTTGTTTGTTTGTCAGAAAGTATCCAGTGGATACAAATTTAGTGGTTTCCATTTGAAAGATCAAATTCTTACTATTAAAAAAGAGGAAGGAGCACAGCTTACAGGTTCAAGCATGGATCAGCTGTGTGTCCTTGCCAAATTGTCCAACCTCTGAGTTTCTGTTTGTCCTTTTTGAAATGAAGATTATAAAACTGAGATAATATAGCCAATTAGCTGAGAATATGGGCTGTGAAGGCTGTTGGTTCTGCCTTGTTCAGGAACAACATCTTGCGTTGCTGAGAAGATGACCCCAAGAGCCAGTTTGCCTGGGTTGGAATCTTGATAATGTCATTTATTAGCCATGTGACTTTGGGTAAAACATTTAAAGACTCTGAGCCTTGATTTCCTAATCTATAAAATGGGGATGATAATAGAATTTGCCTCATAAGGCTATTTTGAAGATTAAGTGAGTTCATATTTATACAGGGCTTGGAACAGTACCTGCCACATGGTGAACTGTCTTCCCCAAATTTCAGTTTATAACCCCAAAAAGGCTGGTGGGTAAGAATATCCACTTTATTTAGGTGTTTTAAAGATTAAATAAGGCAACCCCCTGTAAAGACTTTAGCACAGACCCAGGTTCAGAGTAAATGACTTCTAAATGTCAGCAATTAGTTGTATCATTATGAATAATACAAGGTAGTTGGAAATAAACCTCTAATAAGAAAATTTCACATCCTAGTTTATATAGGAGGCAATAGTTAGGAGTCTTTTATAGATTAAGAATAATTTTATAAATGATAATGTAAATCTCCTCAAGGTAGAGTAGTCAATATTTAAGCTTTTTAACTGTCAATCAAAGATATTTATATCACAGAGTCAAGTTGTTTGGATTACGTGACCCCTGATGTACTTTGGCTCTGCCTGCTCCAGCCCCATTTAAGAATTCTTCCTTCACAATGCCTGACAGACTTTCCTGGAGTAGCTAATTATTTGATAAGATAATAGTAATAATTAACTACTTCATAATGTTGAGTGGTTAGTGCAAGTCTGTATGTTACAAGATTTATGTTAATTCTCTCATTGAAACTTTATCATAAACTCATGAGAAAAGAATGTTATCTCCATTTTACAGAGATGAAGAATGGAGATTTCCAATCAGAATAGGAATCGTCTCTTAAAGTCACAGGACTAGTAGGGCTTTGCCTTTGAATCCAAATATACTGGGCCTATAGTATGCCCTTCTTTGCTCATCAGTTCTTTCTGCATGTATAGAAAGAAGTATTGTTACTAGAAAGATTCTGACTGGAAAGATGTGAATAGTAGATTGTAAAATTCTCAGTCAGAACTCGTTTATGATGGGAAATGCTTAATTGCTTTTAAGTAGTATAAATTTAAAATACATATATATGTATGTATAGGTTTAAAACGTACATATTTTTGATATTTAAAGATAATTAGATAACTTCTATAAAATGGGAAGATTGACGGCTGATGGTAATATTTTTCTCCTTTTCTCAGCCCACTTCCAGGTCAGGTTAGGTTATAAGTTATTCCTTCTGGGACTCTAATATATGCTTCATAATACTCTTTCTTACAAATTGAATGTCAGAGTTCTATAAATATAATGTTGAGTTCTGGAAGTTGATGGATTTCATATCAGTCCTACTTCCTATACAATGCAAGGATGTTCTCTATTAAACTTTTGTAACTCATTTATCACTACAATGTGATAAAAGTCATTTTAAACTTAGTATATCCTTATCCATTTAATGAGCGGAGATAACTGAAATCAAAGGTGAAAATTTTAAGAAAGAATATTATAACTTAATGTCAAAACTTCCCAATATTTAAACCTATTTGAATGGAGTAGGCTGCCTTTGTAAGTATTAAGGTGACTACCAGAGATAATTAAGAAGTGATAGAATGACAAGTTGCCATAGCTTAGGTAAAGGGAAAGCACCAAATACTTTTTCATTTATATGCACATCACTCATTCTGCAAATACTATGTAATCAGAGTTACAAAGATTTATTTTTTATTTTTTATTTATTTTTCCCCCATTTTTTTATTATGTTATGTTAGTCACCATACAGTACATCATTAGTTTTTGATGTAGTGTTCCGTGATTCATTGTTTGCATATAACACCCAGTTCTCCACGCAGTACGTGCCCTCTTTAATACCCATCACCAGGCTAACCCATCCCCCCAGCCTCCTCCCCTCTAGAGATTTTTTTTTTTTTAAAAAGCCTCTGCCTTCAGGGAACTCAGTCTATGGGAGATAATGATAAAATATAATAAAAATAAAAATTCATTGCTGTTATGGAAGCATATGTAAGAAATAGTGTAGAAGAGTCTTCCTAAGTCTTACATGAGGATGGAGTCAAGGGATGTATCCAGAGAAGGTAAGACAAGAGACGAGATGTACAGCATGAGTCAGAATTTGTCAATGTTGTGGCATCATCCAAATTTGACATTCTACAATTTTACAATCTAAGCCTTATGGAATAAGTAGTAGGCAAATTATAAAGTGCTGGGCAAATGCTAGTAACTAGAACTACTACAGATGCATGATTATGTGTGTGGGAGACTAAGGAAAGAATCCATATTTTGTTCTTCATTTCAGTCATTCTGTCCCCATACATCTTTTTTTCAGCTGGTCCCCTGTTGGCTCTTTCCCCCAAACATACCCTCAGTTGGGCATTTCTCTCCATTTCCACCCTCCCTGTCCTGGTCCAAGCCATGTCACCACCAATTCTTACTTAGTTTCCAGTGAGTCTTCCAGCGTCCACTTTTGCTCTTTTCCAGTAACATCCTTCACACGACAGGAGCTCTAACCTTCTAAAAGTATAATTCATATATGTCATTCCAATTCATGAGACAATCTGTTGAATATCCATTACACTTAAAAAAAAAATGAAACCCAGTGCTGTGAATTGTGTAAGACTGTTGAACCACAGACCTGTACCTCTGAAACAAATAATACATTATATGTTAAAAAAAAAGAAGAAGATAGTAGGAAGGGAAAAATAAGGGGAGGAAATTAGAGGGGGAGTCGAACCATGAGAGACTATGGACTCTGAGAAACAAACTGAGGGTTCTAGAGGGGAGGGGGTGGGGGATGTGTTAGCCTGGTGATGGGTATTAAAGAGGGCATGTTTTGCATGGAGCACTGGGTGTTATATGCAAACAATGAATCATGGAACACTACATCAAAAACTAATGATGTAATGTATGGTGATTAACATAACATAATAAAAAAATAGGAAAAAAAATGAAACGCAAACACCTTGCCCACCTAACCTGGCTCTCTGTCTAACCCACAAGCCACACTCATACCATTCTCCCTGTAGTGCGCTGAACTCCTGCCTTCATTCTGTGTCTCAACAAACTAACCTATCCTGCTTAGGGGCCATCCTCAAAGATGATCTCTTTACCTGTAACGACTCTCTTCCA